ATTAAAGAGCATATGGTGAATGGATCTCCGCTGTAACCGGACATACAACTACAGATAGGACTATGATTAACGACCATACAATTGGTATTGAGTCCGCATGGACTTGGGCAGGGGTTCACGCATTTGTAGTCCTTGCATACTAATTGTGGGGAACACTCTGAGCTAGCGACGCATTCAGGTCTACATGCAGGTGGGGTTCCAATGTATGTCGGAAGGCATGAACAAACAGCCTGTCCGGACACTTCTTTACATTTGCTGTTGGGTCCACAGGGTGATGGGGCGCAAACGTTCTCATCTGAGATTATTTCTGGGAAAAATTTAATATATTAGTAAAATTATATAGATAAATATATAAACATCTATAAAATTTATTTAAAAATTTGTCTCTAAACGTAATTAGTTTAATTGTATCTTAAAACTATATATAAAAATATGAAATATATAAGTTTATTCCTTTCTTTAAAAAAAATGTAAAAATTTTTAATATTAATTAAAACAATTTTTTTAAAATTTTAGATCTTTTGTTTTCAATTTTTTAAAAAAAAGTTAAAAATTTTTACAACACAAAAAGATGTTAACTTCACATATGGACCGTCTCATTTAAATTGTAATATACTTATGTAAGAAGACTCATATAAAAACGGAAAAAAAAAGATTAATGTATAAAGCAATATTCTTTTGGATTCAACATTTTGTACGATTTCTATTATAAAAAATTTTTACAAAATAAAATTAGACTGTTTGATTATAGACACTTACTGTCTATGGAACAAGAAATGAAAGGATCTCCGGTATATCCAGGAAGACATGTGCACATCGGTTGATGATTAACGACTGAGCACTCGGCGTTTTGGCCGCACATACCGGCGCAAGGATTGGTGCACTTGTTTCTTACGCACATCAAATTGGATGCACAATCAGGATTAATAATGCATTCGGGTCGACACGCTAAGTACGGATTACCGACATAGCTAGAGCTACACTGACAAATTGCGATATTGTCTCGCTCTCTACATATTGCATTCGCACCACATTCAAAGTTTACGCAAGGCGACGATACTGGTTCCTGTTCTATTGGGCGTGCTAAAACAACGTAAAGGACAAATAGATTATAAGCAACGTCGAACAAAAATAAGGTCAGTTAAAATTTTGCGATTTTATAAAAAAAGCTTTTATATCTCTTACGTATCGCAGAGCAACGCGTGTACGGATCACCGGTGAGACCGTAGGAACAGACGCAATGGGGCACGTGTTGTATCACATGACATTCTGCATTTTCCCCACATAAACCTGGGCAGGGATTCCTACATTTTTGTCGCATACAACTTTGATGGCTAGGGCACTCAGGATTTGAGATACATTCAGGTCGGCAATACGGGGGAGAGCCTCTGTATTCAGATAGACACGAGCAGGATGGCAAATCGTTAACGACTTGGCACTGAGCGTACGGACCACAGGGTGAAGGCTGACAAGGGTTTATTACTACTATTGGTTCTAGATAGAATAAAAATCATGTTTCAATCTTTAATCTGATGGTTGAAGCTTACGCAGTATGCTTTGAATCAAGATTTTCTTACTCATAATATCGCATCTGATAAATGGGTCGCCTGTGTAGCTCTCGGGGCATGAGCAAACAGGGTTGTGATTGACGACTATGCATCTTGCTTGGATGCCGCATGTACCAGGGCAAGGATCTTTACATTTTTGATTAGCGCAAGCTTCGTTCGGCCGACAGTCAGAGCTAAGGGTACATTCGGGTCGGCAGAGAGGCGGTGATCCGAGAAACTCTGGTGCACAAGTACACACAGCTTGTCCATTTAATTCTCTACATATGCTGTTTGGACCACAAGGATTCGGGCTGCATGGTCTTGTCACGGACGGGGCTGCATATATAATAGGATAGATACTAATTAGCATATTCTCGAACACGTGCATCTGGTTTCTCAATTTTGATATCATACCTCTTATTATATCGCAAGAAATGAATGCGTTTCCAGAGGTACCAGGGGGGCAACTGCACATCGGTGTGTGATTTATCACAGTGCACAAACTATTTTGTCCACAAGTACCTAGACAAGGATCGACACATCTGTTTCGTATGCATGCTTTGTCAATTGAACAATCTGTACTAAATACGCATTCTGGTCGACAGCCAACGTGTGGGTCGCCAAAGTATTCAGATAAACAAATGCAAATGCCGTTGTTGCATTGAGCGTTTGGTCCACAAGGTGATCTATTGCATGGATCAATTGGCTGCGTTGGCTCATTGTCTACATTATTACAATTATCGATTTAAATAAAGTTGTAAATACATTGAAAAATATTATATAATTGCAAAAATAAAAAAAATTTTAATATAAACTTACATATTGGTACAGGCTGACAACCAATAAACGGATCACCAGTATAACTTTCTATACATCTGCAGATTGGAATGTGATTATGAACAGTACAATCAGAATTCAGACCACAAGAACCTGGACAGGGATCTTGGCATCTCTCGCGAATACAAGCTTGATTGCTCGGACAATCGGCAGAAATAACGCATTCTGGACGACAATTTGGTGGTGTACCAATGTAATTAATCATACAAGAACAGGATGGATAACCGTTGATGTTGCGACATTGCGAATTAGATCCGCACGGTGACGGTATGCAAGGGTCTGAGGGCAGGCTTGGTAAGTAACTCGGAACAGCTAAAATTTATAATAAAATCTTTGAATTTCAACGAAACATTAAAAAAAAATGTTTTTTAAATAAACTTGAATTATATAACTATTTTCTAATTAAGAATATGAAATCTCTGTAAAATGTTTCAAAACTTATTAACATTTCTAAGAATATAATTTTACTTCTTCATATAATAGTTGTATTCAGTACAATGACCGCTCACTGAGCCCTCAGTGAGCTTTTGTATCTGTCTGATCTATATTTTTAGATTTAACGGAATATGCCAACCAGATGCGAGAGCTCAATGAGCGATCGTTGTACTGAATGCACCCAATAAAAGCTTTAAATAAAAACAAAAGATTTTATGCAAAGACAATTATTTCTTAAAAAATAGCAAATATTAACATTTTTTAATATAAAAAATGAATTATAGAGTAAAAGTTTAGTGTAATGTATATAAGATTCGTTCCGCTTACGTGGTACAAATAAGCAACGTATAAATGGATCACCGCTGAATCCAGGTTTGCATGTGCATATTGGACTATGGTTTACGACTCTACATGACGTACCCTGACCGCAAGAATTGGGACAAGGATCAACACATTTATTATTTTCGCAAGCTCGATTTATCGCACAATCTGTGCTAACTGTACATTCGGGTCTACAACCGGGTGGTGCGCCAATATAAGTCGGTAGACAAGAACAAACAGCTTGACCGTTGCTTTCTCTACATTGACTATATGGTCCGCAAGGAGATAATTGACAGGGATTAACCTTATCTGCTACCACCGCTGCAAGAAAGTCAGGTATTTACAATCACATAATTATCTACAAAAAAGATGCGTATGAGATTTTTAAGTGAGTTCTTACGGGCTTCAACGATAAGGTTGCAAAATATGAATGGATTTCCTGTATACCGCTCAAAGCAAGTACAAGTTGGTGCATGATTAATTACGTAGCATTGTGCGTTTTGGCCGCATGTTCCTGGACATGGATCTTTACATTTTAAACCAATACATGCTTGATTGGACGGACAGTCGGAATTGAGTGTACACTCAGGTCTGCACCCTTCATAAGGATTGCCAATATAATCGGTCGAGCACGAGCAAGAACCAGCATTTTGCTGAATTCTGCATACTGCATTTGCACCACACGGAGATGGTGTGCATGGCGTGGGTACGCTAGGCTGTACATCAACTAAAATAAGAATCAAAAAGTAATTTAATTAACCATTCTTAAACAAAAACGTATTTGATAAATTGTAATCTTGTAATAATAATAATTTAATATTAATTTCGTTATTAATTCTTTCACATAAGTAAACGTGAATTAATTGTGAATTAATAGAAATCGAGAAGTAAATTTAACTTCTAAAATATTTAAATAATTGAATCATTCTTTAAAATTCTCTTACATTGCTGGGGAGAACATTGCGTAAACGGATCGCCAGTGTAACCAGGGGTGCAGGCGCACATTGGTGTGTGACTAACAACATTGCAAACGGCATTGATGCCGCACGCATTGATGCACGGATCGCGACATTTTTGGTTGATGCAAGCCATTTTGTTCGAGCATTCGCTGTTGCTAATACATTCATACCGACAGTTCGGAGGTGATCCAATAAATTCTTGCAAGCACGAGCAAGAGGGTTGATCATTAATCACTTGGCATTGCGCGTTTAGTCCACACGGTGATGGTTGACAAGGATTAAGTACAGGTAATGGATCCTCAGCTTTAAAAGTAATATCGGTTAACATTAATTGAGGCACTATATTGAAATATATTTATATTATGCGCGTGTTCGAAATAATAAAATAAAACAAATCGCGAAAATTAATTTGTTAAATCTTAATTATTTTAGAAGGTTATTTTAGAAAGAATAAGAAAAAAATTTTTCTTACGAATGGGGAAACAATTAATAAACGGATCTCCGGTCATCCCAGATCGACAGACGCAAATAGGATTGTGATTAATGACGTTGCAGATTGTGTTACGACCGCAACTTCCTAGACAAGGGTCCCGACATTTTTGATTGATGCATGCTTCATTCTTCGGGCAATTTGAACTAATTACACATTCGGGCCTGCAAGTCGGAGGCGCGCCGATAAATCCACTTATGCAACTACATACAGCCTGCATATTATTTTGTCGGCATTGACTATTCGGACCACACGGAGACGGATTACATGGGTTGTTAATAGGTGGCACTATAAGAAGGAAAAATTGTAATTACTGAATAAAGATTTGATGTACTAAAAATAAAGATATTATTTGATAATATATCAAATAAGATTTAATATTCTGATATGTCAGTTACGTGTTTAGAATTTTCAAAGAATACCTGGCACGGGAGAACATAGGACGAAAGCATTTCCGTCCATTCCCGAGGGACAAGTACACATAGGAACATGATTGTACACATTGCATATAGCATTTTGACCACAAACACCCGGACAAGGATCCACACATTTATTTCGCACACACGCTCGCGTATTCGGACAATCATTATTCAATACGCATTCTGGTCGACAACCGCTGTAAGGATCCCCAAAATATTCTGCTATACAATTACAAATTCCTCCATTACATTGCGTATTAGGTCCACAAGGCGAAGGTGTGCATGGATCCGGTTTGGAAGGGGCAACAATGACTATAATAATTCCGTGTAAGAAGATCAAGTATGATACAATAAGGAGAACAAAAAATTATTATTATATATTCCTGATGGGGAATCTTACGTGGTTTTACGGAACATCCAATGAAAGGATCGCCAGTGTAATCAGGTAAACACGAGCAAATCGGTACATGATTTACGACACTACATTCGGCCATAATGCCGCATAAGCCTGGACAGGGATCTTTACATCTTTGCTGCATGCAAGCCATATTAGCTGGGCATTCTGCATTGATTGTGCATTCTGGTTTACAATTTGGTGGACTGCCTCTGTATGTTGGTAAACAAGAACACGATGGCACTCCTCCGATATCACGACATTCGGAAAACATGCCACAAGGGGATGGTATGCACGGATCTCTCGTAATATCACTTACAACAGGCGGACTCACTGCAATGAATTATGAACAGTTTGAGAGGTACATAATTGTTATAAAATCTAATTGCATATTACAATATCCATTTCTATACAATATTCTTGTAAATTAATGAACAGTAAAAGACTTATTATTTCTCATTGTGCCAGAAATTAAGACTTTTCAAATATTATTAATAAGTATTATTGTTTATCGATTCTCAAAGAAAATTAATTAGACAGAGTTATATACGATCTCAAAATAGTATTTAGTATTTTGATGAAATAAATATTTTATCAAGATCTGAGTATATTTATATTAAATATAATTAATTAATTTGTTAATATAATTAATTATATTTATTAAATAATTATATTTATTAA